TCTTTAAAAGGAAATAAGTATCATATTTTTGCAAAGTGACCCACATTTGGTTTTTGACCACTGAAAATGTAAATTTTAACAATTTACTTCTGAAGCCATATTTAAATTCCAATATCTCTGGAACCGAACCATATAGGGCATTAAAAATGAAGACGCCAAAAGGAAAGTTTGTTAAGACCCAATATCTAAAGGGGCATTAAGATATCTTTAATACTTCTTGAGGTACAGGCATGCAAACTTTGGAGAAAAAACTTGAAAAGTGCTGTTTCCTCATTTTTGAATGGTCACCATTGGCACATAATGCAACACAGATGGCTAAAATCAACAGATTTTACTAACAGACCTAACAATCTCTGTGTGAAAACAACATCATGATGCTGCCATCTTTCTGAAGTCATTTTAACCCCTGTAATTTGGCTCTGAATCTCAGGTGAAAACTCATATTTTGACCCCTCTCTACAAAGAGTGGATTACTCGGTAAATATTCATCCATGCCATTTAATATTTGGGCTTTCATCACTATACATGTCTATCTTTCTACAGAAAAAATATTAGCAAAAATGCTGGCTTGAGAAAGTTTGGAGTTTTAAAATAAAAATGAAATATACATTTTTGATTTAGCATTACACGTTTTCCCCAGCAACTAAAGCATACCTGTAGGACACTGACCTCGAGTTTAGGTTGCAGTGCCAATCGATCATTGATTATTGATATAATAATAATTTTCTAGACATTTGCATCATAAATTCTTTACTTTGCATTTTACTTGTTCATTAGGAATCTGTTTCATATCAGCCGTTAACACCGATCTCAGCAGTATGGTCATTAGCAAGAGTTTCTGACTAATACTTTGCTTGCCGTTCTTTAAATAGTAGTTATGTTTAGTTCCCGACAGTTGCTTATGTAATAACTTAACCTAACCCTAAAGCTCAAGCTAGCAGTCAGAAATGTAGAATCTTGAATATTACGCACATACGCATACATTTGTTTTTTTGCACATGAATATAATAGTCAAAATGTTCAACAAAATGAGTAGAAAAAATACTTTCTGAAATAAAGTGCTATGTTACTTTGCATACCATTTTAGTCATGTCTAGTCATGATTTTTAAATCGTTTTAAAAAGAATTGCGATAGGTGAATCGATTTTTTTTCTCCCACCCCTATTATCCAGCATAACCGTGATTTTTGCTGAAACATCTTACTTTAACAGATGAGAAAATTCGATATGGATAAAGCTGTTTAACGTACCTGAAGTGATCCAGGTTTTTATGTAAACTCTGCCTAAAAATAACGGCATCTAGCCGAAAAGAGCTTGAATGAACTGAGATGAGTGACAGCTTTTAATAATTATAAAGACAGCTTGCAAATGTGATGTTGATTTTATACAGCAGTTTAATAACCAAGAAGGTAATATTAAGTGACTTAGTTTTTTAGGAATACTATTGTCTGATTTTGCTCTTATTTTGTCAACAAAACTTTTTCCAAATAAAGTCACAGCTGAGCCGCTGCGCATCTCTATGCAAACAGAGCTGGGTAGTAACTGATTACATGTAATCTGGATTACGTAATCATATTCCAAATATTAAGTACTTGTAATTAGGTTAAACTGCATTTTAAAATTCTCAGAATCAGAAGAGCTTTATTACCAAGTATGTTTACACAATAATTATATTTTTAATATATTATCAATTTTTTGTTATTTTATTTAGTTAATGCAGCATATATTATACAAATTATATAATACCGACCCAAGCTGCACAGTTAAATTTAGAGCCTGAACCCATAATTGGTTTTTCACAATGAATAGCAAAACTTTTTAAATATGCTGTATTTCACGATTGCATGCAACGGTCAGTAAACAAAAACATGCAAAGAAACGGATTCATGAAGGCTCACGGCCAGTTCAGCACACAAGGCAAAAGTAAAAAACACTTACCAGTTATGAAAGTTTATGAACAACAGGCAAAACACGTTTCCTTTTAAATATAGTTTATATATAACAACAAACGGCATGCACACGTTATATGTAAGGGATAATCCACAGCTAGTATTTGCCTTAAAAGATTTTAATATAGTCAAGTCAAGTCACCGTTATTTATATAGCACAGATTACAATGCAGAAAGTGTCAAAGCAGCTTTACAGTATTAAAAAAGGGAAATAGTGTGTCGAAATAGGGTGCTGTTCTCCTCTAGCCAGACGAGATGATGTAGCAAGTACATCGGGTGTTATGGGAAGTGTTCCCGGTTCCGGTTGTCCTAATTAATTGCAGCCTAACAATCCTTTAACGGATTTGAATAATCCTAGAAACGTGGCTTTCGAAGGAAAGATTGCTATCAAATAGTGTTCTAGTTTATTACATGCAGAGGTTTTTGGTCCTATAATTAACACCTCTGTTTTTTCAGAATTTAACAGTAAGAAATTACTAGTCATCCAGTTTTAATATCAACTATGCATTCCGTAAGTTTTGCAAATTGGTATGTTTTGTTGGGCCGCGACGAAATATAGAGCTGAGTATCATCAGTATAACAGTGAAAGCTAACACAATTTTTTCCTGATGATATCTCCCAAGGGTAACATGTAAAGTGTGAAAAGTAACGGCCCTAGTACTGAGCCTTGAGGTACTCCATACTGCACTTGTGATTGGTATGATACCTCTTCATTCACTGCTACAAACTAATGACTACGAATTGATGAAGTATGATTTGAACCATGCTAATGCACTTCCTCTAATGCCAACATAATTTTTTAGTCTATTCAAAAGAATGTTGTGTGTCAAATGCGGCGCTAAGATCCAGTAGCACTAATGGCGCTTTTCCACTGCATGGTACGGCTTGGTACGGTTCACTTTTGGAAACGCAAGCCGAGCCGTGCCATGCCGAGACGTACCACGCAGTGGAAAAGCACCATAATAGAGAGATACAACCACGATCAGATGATAAGAGCAGGTCATTTGTAACTCTAATGAGAGCAGTCTCAGTACTATGATACGGTCTAAATCCTGACTGGAAATCCTCACAGATACCGTTTTTCTCTAAGAAGGAATATAATTGTGAGGATACTACCTTTTCTAGTATCTTTGACAGAAAAGGGAGATTCAAGATCGGTCTGTAATTAATTTGTTGGGGTCAAGTTGTGGTTTTTTAATGAGAGGCTTAATAAGGTTTTTGGGACATATCCTAATGACAATGATGAATTAATAATAGCCAGAAGAGGATCTATGACTTCTGGAAGCACCTCTTTTAGGAGCTTAGATGGAATAGGGTCTAACATGTTGCTGGTTTAGATGATTTAGCAAGTTTATACAATTCTTCCTCTCCTATAGTAGAGAATGAGTGGAATTGTTCCTTAGGGGATCTATAGCACACTATCTGATGTGATACTGTAGCTGACGGCTGCATGGTTCCAATTTTATCTCTAAAAGTATCGATCTTGGAGTAGTTCGTAAAGTCATTACTGCTGTGCTGTTGGGAAATGTCAACACCTGCTGATGTTATATTTTTTGTTAATTTAGCCACTGTATTGAATAAATACTTGGGGTTGTGTTTGTTTTCTTCTAAAAGAGATGAAAAATAATCAGATTTTTAAGGCTTTTCTGTAAGAGAAAGTACTTTCCCGCCATGCAACACAAAATACCTCTAGTTTTGTTTTCCTCCAGCTGCGCTCCATTTTCCGGGCTACTCTCTTTAGGGTGCGAGTGTGCTCATTATACCACGGTGTCAGACTGTTTTCCTTAATCTTCCTTAAGCGTAAAGGAGCAATCGTATCTAAAATGCTAGGATATAAAATCAGCACATTCTTTAATAAAGTCTGTATGGTGCCCTGGTGGCCTGTATACAGTAGCCAGTACAAACATCACAGGGGATTTATCATTAACACTTGTTTCTCTGGATAATGTTATATGAAGCACCATTACTTCAAACGAGTTATACTTAAAGCCCGCCCTCTGAGAAATACTGAAGATATTTCTCTAAATTGTAGCAACACCTCCCCCTTTACCTTTTAGATGCGGCTCATGTTTATAACTGTAATCTTGGGGGGTAGACTCGATTAAAATGTATTAATCTGGTTTTAGCCAGGTTTCTGTCAAACAGAGTACATCTAGTTTATGATCGGTGATTATATTTATTAAGTCAGACACAGAGATGAAGTAGTGCGGTAAGATCACATTTATTTGAATGAATTATATAATTTATTTGAATTAATTAGCACGTGTGAGAGAGAGCGTATGAGAGGGATGAAAGTTGCGCATGTGCATTACCTGCATCTGCGCATCTCTATCTACAAGCAATAAAGCTTAGTTGCATCAAAAACAGCAATTTTATCCCTTCGTTGCTGAGAAATATAATGTAGCGAGTCAGTGTAGAAGCTATTTTATTAATAAAAGTTTCTGTGCACCACAATGTTTCTGTGTGTGCGCGCTGTGATCTTCGATATCTGTGTTCAGCAATGTGTGTGTGCATGCATCTATGAAAGCAGCATAGCCTACTGTATATAGTTTTAGTTTTGCTACAAACCGAGCCTGACCCAAGCCTGAACCGTCGGCGAGAGTGAGAGCTCTGATTGGATGTTCAGTTTAGCGAATGAGTCAGTTCTTGAAAATTAAAGCGAAAGTGATGAAAACTAGTAATTAAATGAAGGCTGCAGAGACAGAAGGCTGTTCTAATGTTACAAGATCTTACCCAAGCATTCCAATATGCGAATATTTACATAACAGCATGAGCCGATTAAAATTAATTAAGTTATCAACATAACTCATATTCACAATAGTAAGCAACCGCTGCTTTGTGTACGTTTTGTATATCGGCATATATCTCGTATACCCTTGTTTCGGTTTCTCCTTTTGAATGACAAACACCATCGGCTTTTGTGGCCGCTAGTTCTTTGAAGTCGGCTTGGTGTGTCC